TCACGCACGGCCGCCAGGACCCAGGCGGCGGCGAGGCGGGGGACGCGGTCGGGACTGCCATCCCCTCGGCACGCGCAAAAACTCCTGAGGAGCGCCGTAATCCGTACCGGCCGGCTCTCAGAGGAAAGACCGTGTTTGTGTCAACGGGCGGCAGAAGGGGAAAGAGCGGCGGCAACGCTTCCCGCCGTCTTGCTGGCATCTCGGCAAGGCCCTCCTAGCCCTTTGCTCGTGTTACCGCCTTTGTGAGACGCATGAGGAATAATCGTATCCAGTTTCAAAAGCAATTGGACATCCTCGTGCGAAAAGCTCCAATGGTAACGGCAAATATTTTTATTTTTAGAATGCTTCGTCTCGAGAGTGCCAACAACAATAAAAATAGCAAATCTTCTAAAAGCCGTAGCCAAAAGCAACACAGACCAGTAAATAAATCTGTAAAAAATGTGGTGTGGAAATAACATAATCTCTCTGCAACATGCACAGGCGCGTATCTTTGCATGGAGCAACCCAATGAGTGGTTAGTGAAGTCTCCAAAATCATCCAAATGTTTCTGAAGTTACTCTGAGTTTTGCAAGCATTCGCCCTTTAATTTAAGCTATTGTTTTTCCAAGAGAATTTGAATTAGAAACATGCTCTTTTTTTAGCTAAATATAAGTCCATTGTACACAAACAATAAAAATCTCTTTTAAAAACAATTCTTACTCTCCATGCCAAGGGTTATACAATCTCAAATAGTGCGAATCCTTCTGCGTGGTTGCACTCAGCGAAAAGACAATTAGACAATTTAGAAAATCAGATAAAGATCAGATTAGAAAGCCTCTGGCTTTCATTATGTATCTTAAAAGAATTCGTCCAGCATTAGAGTCTATGAGTTATGACTTTTGGAAAAAAAAAAAGGCACTGGAGAACATAATAAAAATATTTGGAGAATATGCTGGGGTTTGGATTTTTTCTTTTTTTCTTTTTTTCTTTTTTTTTTTGTATTAAAAGACATTCTCTCTGGAAAGAGATTTCTGTACCCAGTGGAAAAAAGTTTTGGTTAGAAATACAAGAAGACTAGGCTAGCAGGTAAGAAATTTAGACTGAGCCATATTAGAAAAGGAACTAGAAATCGACTGGGCTGCTTTCAAGATTCAGTCCAAGCCTGCGCTCTCACATTTCCTTTAAGCGGCCAGAAGCCCTCACAGCTGCCAAAAGAAGCAGTTCAACATTTCCTCCACCTCGAGTCTTTCATTCCTGCCCCCACACATCTCCTCTCTTGTGTCAGCACCGGCATCCGTACAAGCACATGGTGAACAGCTTGTTGAGCCTCGCCTCATAAAGCAGCTTCTCCATCCCCTCGATCGTTTGAGTTACCCAGCTCTGTACCTTCTCAGACTCCACCATGTCCTTGAGAAGCGGACAACTGCACACAGCGCTAGAGATGTGGATACTCCAAGGTTTTACGTAGCAGCAAAATGATATCCTCTGTTTTGTTCTCCACATGATGGAGATGATGATACCCAACATTTAGTTGGCTTTTTTGGTGGCTGCTGCGCAGAGCTGATGATTTCAGAGAACTGCCAGTGATGACTCCAAGATCTCTTTCTTAATTTGTAGTGCCACTTCCAAGTTCAGCATCATTGAGGCATACTTCAGATTACTTTTCTCCGGATGCTTTACCTTACATTTCTCTATATTAAAGCTCATCTGCCAACCTTCTGCATGCTCACTCACTTCTTTGAGATCCTTCTGACGTTCCTCAGCATTGGCACAACATATGGCTGCCCGAAAGTACTTCTGCTTCTGTCAGCTGTGTTGTCACTCTTTGGAACAAGTTGGTAAATCTGTGTTTTTCTAGGAATGTCTTTGCTTGTATAGAATATTCCCCATGACATTGCTTAATTTATCTGGTCTTTTTTGCTAGGCTGAAAATTTCCTGGCCACCCAGAAGCTGATAGATATATTATTGTTTGTTTTTATAGGAGGAATATTGTGAGAATACTTTCATATTACCCAACAACATATGCTTTTAATAGCAAACAGCAACAAAGGTTCCGACCTCCCACAGTTAGAGAGGGGGACGGATACACATTGTTGCTAGCTCATCCCAAGATTTATACTGTGCCCAGCTCGATAACACATTTCAAAGTGCGCTGTTTATTGTCAGCAAGATACTGAGCATTCTCCTCTCATTTTGCCTGCTCTTACAAAACTTCTGTGACATTAAAGAACCCTGGTAACAAAATTTCCAGGAAAAGATTTTTCACTGTTTGGGTTTTTACAAAAATTTGGAAGGAAATCCATACTGGAGGATTTGAAAACTCTTCACGTCGGAGCCATGTCCTGAAAGACACGTGATCTGGTGGCTCCCTCCCAGTACCATGAGCTGGATAGACCTTCCAGACACTTTGTTCCACCTCCTCATCAGCTGACTATCATGATGGACAAAGTAATAATACCTAGTGCTTACTCAGCAACTCAGCACAAATACTGCTTCAGAATTAGTTTTTAGAGGGGAAACTGAGCCTTAGAAAAGTGACACATCCATAAATCTTCTAATCCTGTGCTTATTTCATTGGACTGCTGTGCATCAAAGTTCATACTCAACGTGCCAAGGTCCTCCGTGATGCTGGCACAGAAACTGAGATCTTTTGGAAACCTGCCCCTTAGATTACCACTCCTTTGAGAAGAGGTGGTCATCTAGAGACCTGGCCTGATTTTCTAACCTCCTGAGCTAGCTTTATACCATGCCCCTGGGCTCTAAAACCTACATGGGAGGACTCATGGATATATGATGACTGAAAGCAGCTGCATGAAAGCAGCTGAGCAGAAAAAGCCTTTTTGGTGGCTGCAGTCCCTACATGAACAGCCATGCCTACCATCTGCCTGGTAGGAGTGTGCATAAGACAGGAAAAGTCTGCACAGCCAGGTCTCCGTAATTTGTGGGTGGATTAGCTGTGGTGCCACTTTTCCTTAACGTCCCCGTCTCCCACATAGCGTGACAGAGCGCACGTCTCCGATAGAAGTATGCTGCTTGCACCAGGCTGGCCTCTGCCCACTGCTGGCCCCTGCCCTTTGCAGACCTCTTTTGATAAGTTTTTCCGAGAGGAATGCTCTGACTGTAATTTCTGTCATTTAATTTACATCTGTTTTATATTATTTACAGTTTGGCTTTATCTGGGCCATTCCCTCCCCATTGCTCTTCCCTTTTTTCCCCTCCCCCTTACCCGTGATAACTTAGAGTTGACTGTAGCCAGTGTACAGTCACATTTTGTCATCCCGACAGACCTCGCAGCCGCCAGCTGTCTTACAACTGCTCTGGGTTTTCCTGGAGCGGTCATTCATCTTTCATTCCCCCTTTCTCGCTTGCCCCGCAGGAAGGATCCTGAGTCCTTCCTGAGCCTTCCCAAGTGTGTCACTAGCGCTAAATTCATTTTTCCATGTTCAGAGGACCAACAGTGCCCCAATCCAGTGCTGACCCTCATTCCGGTGGCGCATTGAGATGAATAACATGTATAAAGGAGTAGATCAAATATATCTTGGAGGATATGCTGTGCAAAAACTGGGGAAAAAATACATGTTTATTTTCACAAAGTGTCCCAGCAGCTTCAGCGCTCTGAAGGGGCCCAACCGCAGGACACAATAGGCCGGGGAGAACAACAGAGCGTGGGGTTGGAAGCAATTGAAAATGCAGAGGAACTAGACAGGCAGAACAGCGTTATTCAAAGTGGAATTAGAGCAGGGCACTGGGTGACTGCATTTTGCTGAAAACCCTACCGTGACGACTGAAAAACAGAAGGATCTCGTTTTAGCAAAGGGCCAAGGGACAGCCCGTAAAAGAGGCAGCGAGGCGGATAAAGGGGCGAGCGAGCGAGCGGGGTTCGTGGAGGCACACGCTCGGTGCCCGGCCGGAGGAATGTCATGGCTTCACTTGTGATTGGCTGGGGAATGGAGGAGTCAGTTTTCACGGGGGCTGATCAAAAAGTTTCCCTTCGCTTTCCAAAGTTGCTGTCTGAGCAGAGGCACCGGGAAGAGGAGGCCAGTCACTCCAGCGTTCCTCAGGAAAGCTACTTAAATGAAATGAAAAGGCTTCTCTATCCAAGGATTTACAGCCAAGAAAAGAGGCGGAGAAGCTGTTTTCCTTCTTTTCTCCCCCAACTCCCACGGCAGTTGATCAGCTCTCATTTCTGGCATGCGTCTCATCTCTCAGGATACTATGTCACAGTATTCTACTAACTTTCTCTTGCTTCCCATACCCGAGTATCCCGTGCTAGACTGCGTGCCCAACAAAATCATCAAGCTCGTGGTGCTGGGTGGCAGTAGCGTTGGCAAGACAGGTAAGTCCACAGGTGTACTTCCATGCTGTTTGCTCCCTGCGTGTCCTTGGCGGCTAATTTACAGCTCGGATAGACCCAAGGCTGTGTAAACGCTTAACCGCAGCAGCTGAAACATTTTAAGTTGCTGTTTTGAAAATGCACTGGATAATTTGTGAGGCAGGCTGGCTGGTCATACAGACTTGGATCAAACACGAGGTAGCAGTTAAGTGGACAGGGCACCGTGCTGGGAGCTCTGCACTCACAAGTGACACTCTGGTCCCGGGCAAATTATTTAACTATATGTCTCAGCTTCTGCATGCAAAAATGAGAGGGGGGATTTTTATTCTCCTGTTGTAAATGTTTTATGCTCTGTGGACAAATAACAGTGCACAAAATGTATTTTTCCATATCATTCTCTAAAGGAGAGGAGAGGAAAGGAGGCTAAAGGATAAAGGGAGCGCTACCGCTTTTGAATGTAATGATTTATGATTTCAGAAATGACTAAGGCCAGATTTTATTTTACTACATCTGAGGTTCCACAGCACTCAGGAAAACATTTCGTTGTTTGGATTTGAAGCAGCCACATTTTCACATCAGTTTTAAGTAACTTGTTGAAGATACCTACGCTGTCGATTTCATTTAAGGGCACCAAAGAGGTGACTGTGTACCTGTCATGAGAAAAATGATTTTTATAGAAGACGCCTATGATAGACCTGTTTGCAGAAAAAAGCTTTTTATTTAGATATTAGCTGCGTGGTTTTGTAAACGATGGCGGATCTGCTGAGATGAGGACGCTGTAGAAATGTAAGTTCCTATCACCACGAAGGGACTTTAAGTCTTATAAGAGATCAAGAATAAGGAAAATGTTCTAATCCAAGAGTGTATGAAAGCACCACTGGTTAAGATGAAAAAGAAGGCACAGAGCACTGCAGCATGACCCCTCTGCGTGTAGCACATGCAGTTTGTTTGGTGGATGCGACTAGGTATCACTAATGTGTTTCACGAGGACGACTGAGGATTTTTAAGCCTGGGAAGAACCATTAGATCCATCAGTCTTGCTTCTTACTTGACACAGACATCTTAAATTTGGTATTGGGATCAGTTTCAGGATTGTAAGGGTTTGCTTCGTTATTTTTTTCCTGAATTATCTTATACCAAGGGTCAGATTGTTATATCTGCAATCATAACAAACAGTACTCCGTAACCCACATTGAGTAGCCTAACTGAATCTAAGGGACCATTTACAATACAAGTTGCCAAAAATGCTGTGCTAGGATGTCACACCCTGGCCCCAAATCTGTTTTTTTTGAGTGCAGAGAGAGGCGTTTGCAGAATAATGTGTGAGCAATAGCAAGATTAACTTGATTTCCCATTATACTAACTCTTCCAGTAAGGTATTACATGTGTTCTTCAAAGATTGATTTTGGTTTACATTAAAGACCCTTTTTTTTTTTGATTGTTTTACAGCCCTGGTTGTGCGCTTTCTCACAAAAAGATTTATTGGAGACTATGAAGCCAACACTGGTGAGTCTTTTCTACTGCAGTATTGCAAATAGCTTGCAATGGAATCTACTCTGATTTTGTGACTGGTGCATATTACAGGAAAGCCAAGCAGTGTGAGATGTCCGTAAGATGCATATTTTCAGTTAATAGCCTCAAGCTACAAAAGCAATAAATCAAAGGCTCATTACTTATGATCCTTTCAGCTTTTTTTTTTTCCCCCCAACTTGATGGAAAAGGATCAGAGTAAAAGGTTTGCTTGGGGACATACCTATACTAAAGGCAGGCTCAAGGAACAACTCGCGTATCGACGAAACCGCAGAAGCCCCGTGCTGCTCTCTCTCTGCAACGCCGGGGAAGGCAGTGGCATTCCAAAGCGCGCAAAAGGCAGCTCAGAACTTTTTCTGTGTGCTTCCTTTTTTTCAGGGGCTTTTAAGCCAAGGGAGATTGCCAAATTTAAGTCTTCTTTCCATGACATAAGCAAAGCGGCCATGCAAACTCCTTCTACTTTGTTTCTTGTTTAATCCTGACCTGTAAGGACACCTCAAAGACTGCGTTCATGTCAACTGTTTAATTCATAGCCTCTGCTCTGCGCAAGGTGCCAACTGTGCTGGCCAGCATCGTAGAAAGGATCTTTGTACACTGTGCTCATACTTACTAGCACATCCCACACGTAGGCCATGTCACAGTTTTGGGGTCAAGCAGGACTGGATTCAAAGCAGTGATTGCTTCACTTTGGAGATACATGCTGAATTTAGAATGACGAGTCAGGAATGGAGATGGTAGTACAAGAGGCTTTTGATCTCTGCCTGTCTGATGAAATGCAGTCTGGAAGCTTCTCCTTACAACTCCCTCTTACTGACCTGATATAACCTGGATGGTTGCCTGGGCTATTTCTTTTTCTTTTCCTTCACCTTTTCTATGGGAGACCGTGCATCAAGTTAGACTTCCGAGCTTTTGCAGTGGATTGTTGCCAGAGCTGCTGCGGAGAACCACATGGCTTTCCTATAAGCTACCAGCCCAACAGCCACGCTGCAGAATAAACAAACATACCAGAAACATGCCACAAGTGGTAGTGTATTTGTGATCATTCAACCATGCTTTTCCTTCAGTTTGGTATAAGGCAGAGCAAAGTCAGCGGCTGGAAGCACCTGCTCTTTTTTCTGCAATGCATTACAGAGTAGGAATAGTATGCTGCCTGATCTTGGTTCAGAGGTACAGTGTCTCCCCCATAAAACAGTACTGTCTTTATAGCTTAAGATCTGATGTGTTTTCAAAAAAAAAAACAAACCCATAAGCGCTACAGCACCCCACAGAGTCAGTATTAAAATACAATACGGGAATGTTGGATCCAGATGCAGCAAACTTTGCCACAGTAAATTTCCTTATATTGTGAATGTTTCTATGAGCTCAGATTCTTTTCCACTGGAATAAAAACACCTGTTCCCTTCAACCCAGTGTTATGGAGTTAATTTTCAGCAGTGATGGTATTGTTGTCACTAATTGACCTCCCTGGCAATCTGAGTTCCTTGCTCTCCAGTAGATGGTATTTCTCCAGGTCTGAGCTGAAGCACATTGTTTTAGCGGTAGCAGTGACAAATGTATTTGGACAACGTTAAAAGGTCACACACAACAGCTGTGGATATAGCATTTCTTTGTAAATCCATGTGCCTTGTATTAAGTTCTAAAGAAAAATGACGAGGACATTAACCGCTGAAGCTATCTTCATGACAACAATGGATATTTCGTAAGAACAAAACTGAAGTGTTCTTTGACACTCAGCTCGCACTCCAGTAACAAAATAACGTTCAAACCCAGAATAGCAAGGGTCTTATAAGGGCTGGGGCAATCCTAGATATTTTGAAGCAGCACTTGGCCCCTGAGTATCAGTCATTATCAAGAACTCAGATTCAAACTGTCCAGTCTCTGGGAATTTCAAACCAAATCTGACTGCTAAGGTCCTACAGATCCCAGCGAGCATCTGGGTGTTCTGGATATAGTCATCCACTCTGTGTCCAAAACTGGAACACTTTCCTTTTTTTTTTTTTAAACTTACAGAAAAATACAGGAGGAAACAGCTCACCTTTTACATTAACTATTTTGATATCTCAGATTGAGATTAAAAATATATCCAGCCAACATGACAAAAAGGTAACAATATGGATCAAAAAACTGTGTGGGATTTTTGTGCCCACTGTAGCTAAGTATTTGATTCAACACATAATAGCACCCTTCCCACATACTATCCCAGGGATGCAGTGGACCCATCCACTCACATAGCAAATACAAACCTACTTTATTTTAGTAACCAGCCACACACCACAGTGGTGCCATTCACTTTTCATAGGCAGCTACATATCATAAGGCTCAAAAACCTGACTGCGACACTTCCGTTTTGACTTTACGTGCTCTTTCTTCTTTGTTACAGTCGCTGACTCTAATGATCTTACTCTTCCACCAGGTGCTTTGTATTCAAGGAAGTTCACCATAGATGGGGAACAGATCTCGCTACAGGTGCAAGACACACCTTTTGTTTCACTGGAGGTAAAATATCTGCTTAATGCATCAGTACTTTACAACACAGTTTGGTTTTTGCCAGCGCTTTCATCTGTAAGTAACCACTTACCAGCAGAAATATGTGTGAGCTCAAATCCAAATGAAGCTTAAGGGGGGTATTTAAAGCCCTGCCAAAATGAGTCCTTGAAGAGGTTAAATCAGGCTCCTTTAAGAGTAAGTCAGAATTAAAAGGAATATATTTCAAATACATTACTGCATCCCAAGCCTAAATAGCAGTAAAACCATAGGCTGACTTGCTCCTGCCAACACCCTGCTTGTTTTATTTCCTGTCAAATAGTTCCTGTCTCTGCATGGCAGAAAACTCTCACCTGCCTGGAGGCACAGCTGGCTCATTTGAGACCGTCCTGTGCACTCAGACTCTGTCTTCTCTAGAAAGACGTTTCTTTCCAACAGAACATTCATGGGGGGCTTTTCAGTGCTTTCCTTACTTTTTTTTTTTTATTATTTTTACTCATTCCTTATTTCTCAGGTGCTAGCATTTCTCCATATGCCTCTTTCAATCAATGTTTAAGATATTCTAGATTTAATACCTGGCTAGGAACCTGTCTATAAATATTTGTCGAAGCAGGATGCAAAGTTAAGAGGTCTCTTTTTGAAGATCTGCTTTACATGCAGAAGCTAGGTGTTTCCATTTCTTTTCTTTTTCTTTTTCTTTTTTTTGGATGACTAGAAATGGGTTTAAGTGGAAAGCAGGAAGCTTTGACAAAGTTGCATGCTCTCTGCTGCTGCGGAGGGCGTGCAGAGCAGAGGACCCCTCATTCATTCTGGACACTAAAAAGCAAACAAAGGCAGCCATGGAAGTCCTCCAAATATTCAACAGGGATTTAACAGTACAAAGGCTTTATGCCAGCTTGTTTAGAGAGGACAGGGCAAGAGAAGCTGTTGACAGTGATTAGGCACAATTGGGAAGGGCAGATAAACACACGGCAAAGGGAATCCCCTTTCTGTGAGGAAGGAGAGAGTGAAGGAATTTAATTCCCTCTTTCACACCAAATAGAGTTTTATTTTCCAGTTTCCCTGTTTTAATTAGATTGTGCCCTAAAGTTCAACGGCTGTAGCCAGAGCTCTGCAAAATTCAATCACGCCATCAGCTGAAGTTTTTAGTAGTTGGAAACTATTTTTAATTTAGTTAGGAGGAGCTTCGTTTTCTTTGTCCCAGTCAAAGGTCTGCAGTGTTTCAACAATTCCCACAGACACACTTATCTTATCTTGAATCTCTGTTTGTATCAAATGATGTATCTCAAATTGCTTGAAGGGATTGTTCCTGAACAGAGCTCAGTTAAGACTGAGAATGGGTTGGATTTTCTGCTAAGATCCTTAAGGAAGAGAGAGTCGTTTGCTGTCTGCAGGCTGAGGACAGTGGTTTCTGGAGGAAGTCATGTGGAATCACTCAGGATTCTAGCCATACCGGAAATGTTACTGTTTAAGAGAGAAATAGAAGCAAATAGATAACTGGTTCAGTTAGGTGATTCATTGCTGCTTGAGCTACGCATGGCAAGCGATTGTGCGCTTCAGAAATCATTCTCAAGCAGAGATTTCCATTTAAAATGCAGCCCATTAGCCTTTGATTTTCCTGAATAAAGCATTCCACTGGGGATTATCCATCCATTTCGCTGCTGGGTGGGCCTAGCTGGAGTAACTGAGAATCCCTGCTCATTAGGCCTCTCTAAAGGTACATCTCCTCCAAAAATATTTTTAAACGCTCGCCAGAGCAATTGGTTCTTCTTCTCCATAAAAGGAGTTTGTGGGTGAAAAGAGGCTAGCAGAACATGAAGGGTGGCTAATTAGCTACAGGTTGGATACAACCCAGACAGCAACAGGGCAAACTGCCCTTCTTCTTACAGTCTGCCCTATCCTGGCTTGAGTTGGCTCTCATTAACCTTTTAAGCAAGGCTGTTTGTGAGGATCTCTCTCTGCTCTGTGTGCGACTCTGCTGGTTTTTTTTTTTTTTAGGGGGGAGTGGGGCTGGAGCAGGGTTGATCTGTTAAACAATTTCACTGCTAATGAAAGAAAACCAAGATTTAGCATGAAGTTACTGTGAGCTGGTAAGAGCAAAGAACTACTAGATACAATGAGTCACTGCCTCTATGGGCAATACTGAAATATTGCCTATGCACAGGGCAGTTAGTTAGCAAAACTCCTGCTG